CAGTATAGTGTCTATACATCTTTCCCCGTCCTGTATTTTAGAACAACATTGAATAAGCTGAATGTGTTTCATGGAGAAGCAGTGCAGCAGTAGTCAAAAGAGCAGTGAACTTGGATACAATGAATAGTTTGGTGGGAGAGGCAAAATACTACCTTCTATTGGAGAAAAATAGACAAGTTCATCAATGGAGCAGGAGAGAGAAAATGAAATTCAAATTACATCCACACAACCAACTAGTCCCCTCCTACCACACCTCGGCCCCTTCTAATCCACTGTTTCCTTTAAGACTTCTAAAGAAAGACCTTTCCCATAAAGTCTTCCCTGGTCTCTAAGCCCAGAGACTATCACTCTCACTCCAAAGAATTTACTTTGTGCTTAATTTTGCATAAATTTTCTTTATATGTATTCATGTATAAGCAGCTTATTACCATGAGAAATGAATACTCTCTTATATGTAGTAACTCATTATTGTTTTAGGACCAAGGATTTCCCCCTTCTCTGCTTCTTCATCCAGAAAGCAACCAGTGTGGGAATTCTCTTTCAGAGATTTACCCAGGCCAAGATCTAATCAGACAGTAAAAGAAATTCTAAGTTTGGGCTAATGGGTATATTCCTGCTCATAGTGTTTGCTCAGACAGGTCCTGGGAAAGGTTGATTCTCTCTATTATCAAGACAGGTGATATGGAAATGGATGTGTTTGACCAAGATTTGAATGACCTAAGTCACATACCCCAACACCTTCATTTTAATATATCCCATATCTTCCATTGTGTTAATCAATCCCAGTTGACTGACATCCCTCAGGAATGCCTACTTTTCAAAGGGCATATAAACTGTGACCCCACCGCCATTCAGGCTCTTTGGTCCAAGAGAGATGGCCAAATGACCACCCTTTTATTAATAACCTGCTGGCCTTTTTAATAGAATGATTAAATTACCCAGAATCATCACACTACCTTGAAATAGAGACAAGAGGGGGCATGTGCTAGGTAAATCGTTTTACCACCACCCCCTTGGCCATCCGACAGATCTTGAGCCTTGGCAATAGCACTGTACCCCCAAACCACCAGAACTGCTTCCAGCCCAGCCTCATAGTCATCACCAAGGGCAGAAATCATGGTGGGGAGGGGCTCCTCTGTCCTCATCGTCACCAACAACAACTGTCAACTGTCACCAACAAGCCGACAGGCACAGAAGGGCCAGCCATTCCAATCAATTGCCAACCAAGTGTCACAGACAGGGCAGGCAAGCCTAAGGAAGGCACCCTGAGGGAGATATGGAAGGCAGTACATGCCACACAAGTCAGACCACAAGCACCACCACCTTGGCCACCAACTCCCCTCGGCATCTGGTGGGAGATGGTCCGGGCCCCTGAACCCAAGAGCCCGGGGAACTGCAGTCTTCCAGCCCAGTGCCCTCAGCCATCACTCGGGGAAAAGCCCCAGGGGAGATGCAGCCTGCACACCCCTCCTGTAGGGGCTAAAGCCACAATTGCTGAAGACCCAGAAGAGAAAGTCACTGACATGAAAGTCTTTGACATTGTCAGATGGTTCAACATCGGAAAGTGATGTTTCTATCAGTGTAAATGACATTAAAGAAGAGGCATTGCCATCTGCTTTACAGCAGCACCCTAAGAACCATGGGACCTTTTAATAATATTATTATTATATCTGGCACATTTATAGAGCCTTCTATGTGCTGGACACTATTCTAAGGGCTAAACAGATAATTCAGTGGATCCTCCCAACAACCTTGTGAGGCAGACATTTTCTCCATTTTAAAGATGAGGAAACAGAGGCCCAAAGAGGTTAAGTGGAAGTATCTGAGGGTGAATTTGAACTTGTGGCTTCCTGATTCCAGGCCCAGCCCTATGTGCCCTGTAGCACCCCTAGCTGCCTGACTTATACCGGACCTACTCCGTGTTGTGTGCCCCATTAAGAATGAGCTCCTTATAAGCAGGGACTGTCTTACTTTTTCTGTTTGCATGCTGAGTCATTTATTTTGTCTCCCCCAATGGAAGATTCTTGAAGTCAAGGACTACGTCCTCTGTCTCCACAGCACCACGCCTGAGCCACTGAAGGTGCTTGCTGATTGACTGAAATCAGGGGGTTCTCATCCAGTAAAATGCGTTGGGAAAAATCAGGCAAAATTAGGAGAATAGGTGTCAAAGGAAGGAAGCAAGAAGGAAGCTTTTGTGCAGTCACCAAATAGGAGAAATGACAGGTTCATTTTTCTTGAGAGACAAATGGCCAAAGCGATGGAACAGAGCTCTCAAAAGACACACACACACACACACACAATAATAACCAACTCCAAACTTTTCCTAATTTTCTAGGAATCCAAAAGAAAAAACTTTCAAGGTCCTTAGCCCCATCCTCCCTTTCCAACCCTATTCCACATCAGTCCTCTCTGCACGTTATAGGGGCCATCCAACTGGCTAATTTGCTGCTCCTCATGCACTACACTATCTACAATGTTACGCCCTTCTCCTAGCTGTTGCTCATTCCCAGAAAGCCCTCTCTCCTTGCCTCTGTCTCTTGCAATCTTGTTTCCTTCAAGAGTCAGTTCAAGAGCTCTGACCTGGCCTGATTATTTCAAAGAACAATTTGGAAGTATGTCTGAACAGATATAAAACCATGCATACCCTTTGACCCAGCGATCCCACTACTAGGTCTGTATCCCAAAGAGATCATAAAAATGGGCAAAAGAGCCATATGTACAAAAATATTTATAGCAGCTCTTTTTGTGGTGGCAAAGAATTGGAAATGGAGGGGCTGTCCACCAATTGTGTAATGGATGAATAAGTTGTGGTATGTGATTGGGATGGAATACTATGTTGCTATAAGAAATGGTGAGGGGGATGGTTTCAAAAATCTTGGCAGACTTACGTGAACTGATACAAAGTGAAGTGAGCAGAACCAGAACATTGTGCATAGTAATAGCAATATCAGAATGATGATCAACTGTGAAAGACTTAGCTACTTTGATCAAGACAAAGGACTCATGATGAAAACCACCTCCAGAGAGAACTGATGAACTGAATGTAGACTGAAGCATTTCTAAAAATTGTCTTAAATTTTTGCAATGCATTTAATATGGAAATTTTGCATGTATAATTGATAACATATTGCTTGCCCTCTCAAGGTGAAGGAAGGGAAAAACTTGGAACTCAAAATTATTTTTTAAAACTATGACTGGGGGGGTAAGAGCTCCTGATGGATTGGGAAGGGTGTGTAATGAGCAAGAAGACAGCAAGACAAAGTGAGGAAGCTGTAGACAAAGCAGCAGCAGCCAAATGAATGCTTGTAAGACAAGGGGGCCGAAGCAGCGTTAGCGTCTTGCCTTTTCTTCTGTTTTGGGAAAATGGAGACGTGGCAAACTCTGGCCTCATCTGCCATACCCAGAGAGCCACACACACACACACACACACATACACACACACCCCTCAACCCACCCTGGTTCTTCAGTTCATTGCTTTGGAAAGGACTCAGATGGTGTGACCTGCCCTCTGGTTGCTGCTGAATTCCAGCTCATCGCATCCTCCCCCCCCATCAGGAGCTGGAACCTCCCATAAGTCAAACTGACATTCCATGTCCTACTTATTCTCCATGCTTGAAACTCACACCTTTCTCCCTTCCCTCAGAGGGTTAAGGGGAAGAGACAAAATCAAGCTACCTTTTTCTAAGCCATCACTAAATTTGATATGCATACCATCTATGCCTTTAATACAGAGATTACATGTGGATGATGCTTTAAAATTTACAAAGTGGAGGTACCACTTTACAGCTGTCAGACTGGCCAATACAACAGAAAAGCAAACTGATACATGTTGGAGGGTATGTGGGAGAACTGGGACACTAAAGACTGTTGGTGGGGATGTGAACTGATCCAATCATCCTGGAGAGCGATTTGGAACTATGCTCAACAGGCAGTCAAACTGTGCACACCCTTTACTCCTGCAATACCACTACCAGGTTTATATCCCAAAGAGACTAAAAAAGAGAAAGGGAAAAGGACCTATTTGTACAAAAATATTTGTAGCATAAGAAATGAGGAACAGGCAAATTTCAGAAAAACCTGGACTTGCATGAACTAATGCAAAATGAAATGAGCAGAACCATAAGAATATTGTACAGTAATAGCAATATGTACAATGATCTACTGTGAATGACTTAGCTCTTCTCGGCAACACAAAGACATAAGACAATTTCAAAGGACTCACGATGAAAAATACTATGCACATCCAGAGAAAGAACTGATGGAGTCTGAATGCAGATCAAAACACACTGTTTTTAGCTTTATTTTTTCTTCTTTTGGTCTGTTTCTTTCACAACTTGACTAACATGGAAATATGCCTTACATGATTGCACATGTATAATCTATATGAAATTGCTTACTGTCTTAGGGAGAGGGAGGTGAAGGAGGAAGAAAATCTGGAAGTCAAAATGTTTTTAAAAATGAATGTTAAAAATCGTCTTTACATGTAACTGGGAAAAAATAAAATACTATGTAAAACAAAAAAACAAATCAGAGCGTTTTACATATATTATCTCAAGACTGATAAAAACATTCAATGGACTAAGCCTCAGGAAAAATCCCTAAAGGCATTCAGCACTGACCACTTTCCAAGCTTCTATTAAACCATTCATAACCACTCAAACAGACACTAAACTGTTCTAATCACCCCTACCTAACTATACTATTGTCTCTCCTACATCTTTCTGTCTTTCATGTTGGAAGCATGATATTCAGGAAGCTGTGTGCTTTGGCTGAAAGACCACGGTATTTGCTCTCCTGATGGTCCCTTTACTTTTTGGACACATAATTGCCACTCACCACTGACTCTCCCCTCTCCAGTAAGAGCTCTCCTGTATCAGTTGAACATGGTCAAGGAAAAGAAGGCAACAAATTGGTTACTTGTGAAAGTATATGCCTCATTTCTATCTCTAGTCAGCAACTCCCTACATTGAGGAAAAATAATTCACCATCATAAATTGAAAGGCTTTCCACATGATTATATTTCTTGGATCTTTTCCAATATTAAGTACATTTATCAAAAAGTCTCTCCCAGAGAAATGTATTGCTTCAACGATTATACTAATAAGGTTTCTCTCCATCATGAATTCTATCATGAATCAATAATGTTGACTAAGTGCTGTGATCTGGGGGAATGCTTTCCCACATTAATTACATTCATAAGATTTCTGTCTGGAATGTATTCTCTTATGGGATGAAAAACCTGCACCCCTAGTGAAGGATTTTCCACATTCAGTGCATTCATATGATTTTTCTTTAGTATGAATGCTAACATGACGAGTAAGATCAGACTTCTGAGAGAATGCTTTTCCACATTCACTGCATTTATAAGGCTTTATTCCTGTATGAATTCTCTGGTGCATAGAAAGTTTAGAGTTTGTTGGGAATGCCTTTCCACATTCATTGCATTCATAAGGTTTCTCTCCACTATGAATGATACTGTGATGAGTGAGAATGAATTTCTGAGAGAATGCCTTCCCACATACACTGCATTCATGAGGTTTTATTCCTTTATGAATTCTCCTGTGCAGAGAAAGGTTACTGTGTGATGTAAATGTCTTCCCACATTCCTTGCATTCGTAGGATTTCTCTCCAGTGTGAATTCTCTGATGTAGAGTCAGTGCCGTGCTCCAGGGAAAGGCTTTCCCACAATCACTGCATTTAAAAGGTTTCTCTCCAGTATGAATCCTACAATGTCTTATGAGATGTGCCTTTTGGCGGAAGGCCTTTCCACATTCACTACATTTGAAAGGTTTCTCTCCAGTATGAATTCTGTAATGTTGTATAAGTTTTATCTTCTGCGGGAAGGCCTTTCCACATTCACTGCATTTATATTTGTTTTGACTCTGAATACTAGTGTGCTGAGTCAGATTTGCCTTCTGACAGGATGTCTTGTCACATTTTGTCAATTCAGAACACTTTCTTTCTGTATCAGTTCTCTGGTATCGACTAAGTTCATTATTCAGGAGGAAAGAATTCCCACTTTCATGATATTTCTCTTCAGCGTGAATCCCATATTTTTTAATGTCATCAAAATCATAACTGAAGGTTTCCTGACATTTGTTAACCTCAGAATATTTCTTCTGTGAATAGACTTGATTACACTGTCTTTGGCCTGACTCCCCGGTGAAGTTCCTCCACTGGTTATCACCTCTATGGAGACCCATCACTACAGATGCTCCCTGCTGTGGAGAAAGGACTGGGCCATATTTATTGCACTCAGAGCCTCTCCCTTCATTGGGAGGTTCTGTTGGGTTTACTTTTGCTTTTCTAGGGTATTTCTCCTCATTGCTCTGCTCTCTCTTTAACCTGCCATAATACTCCCAGGCTCTTCCCATCTTGGAGATGCATGGGTCATCCCATGAGGGTGCTTGCCGGGCTAAGTCTTCCACAGAAACACCCATCTTTGGAGTCGACTCCTTGGTCTGAGGCCTGGTATCCCAATCTGAAAGAAAGAAAAAGTATGAATAGCCATTTTATTTGGAAGAATGAGTTTTTGCCTATGCTTCACTTTCTCCAATATTCTGGTTATTATAAGCAACATACACATTGCTTTCACTTGAATTGAAATCTATTCTTACGTTTTATAAAGCTTCTTTGTAATCACCAGGCTTATCCTTTCACGTGGCCTAATAATATTCTCTCAGGTGAAAGTGCCAAAACTGGTGCAGACAATGTGCAATCAATGCAAATGCTGACAACTGGTGGCTCCTTTACACCAATAAGGACAGTGCAGCTTAAAGTATTTTTCTTTCATGGAAAATTCTTCCTCTGAATATCACACCTGAGAGAGTCATGAGAGTGATCGCTGGGTCTAAGAAGAAGTTCTGTGGAGCTCCTACACCGCAGAATTCCACTTTGCTTTCCAAAAAGATAAGAACAATTCAAAGTTCCACCCACAGTGGAGCAGCGTTCCTGCGTTCTGAAAGCACCCACAGCATCTCATCTATTTAGCCATACCTACTGACTCTGATGTAAAAGGTGACATTATCCAAACAAGCCAGAGGAGCAGGGGAGAAAGTATCTGGAAGATCTATGGCTGGGAGAAGACTTCATGACCAAATACGTCATCATGGAGATCACAAATGTCCCCATTTTCAGGGGGCTCAAAGATAAATGGTTAGCTGAGCAGTGGGGTGTCATATACTCAACGGCCTGGAACTCACTCACCTGGCCAGACGACTCTTAGGACACTACCCGTTGGAATCCCATATGCTTCCCCCAACTCCAGCTGAGAGATCACGTCCTTGTTGGAATCTGCAAGGCCTAGTGATAGGAAACGGAAGAGTGATGGAGAGGGAGGGTAACCTCAAAGTCTGAGCCTCACAGCCCCCTAGGAGCAAGGAAGGAAGGCCCAGGCAGGCTTGGGGCTGGAGATGACCACACAGAAAACATAGGAAGGCTTATATGGCTTATATTCCTAGGAAGAGAAGGGAATGAGACAAAGAATGGAGCTGGGTTCAGAAAGGCAATGAGTTCATTTAAAACGTTCAGTACTAAAGGATCTGGGACATTCATGACTTCAAACACTGCCCTGGGACTTTAGAAAGTGTCTCTGGCACAAGGGAAGAGAGCTGGAGTTAGATCACATTAACGAAACAGTCTGGTTCCAGACTTACAAAGCAAGGGCCCTTCAGCTGGGACCAGGGAGCACAATCAGCCCATCTTTTCACCCCATCGTGATTAATACACGCTTGCCTCTTTTTTTTTTTTTTAACAAGCCAAAGCATCAGTGCTCAACACTAAACCAGCCCCCAGCAGAAGGAAGCAAATAACCTTTCAGGGGCAGATCCTGAGTCCCCAGAGGAGCCATCCTTACTCAGGCAGACCAGGTTCCTGTAGTTCTCCAGCATCACCTCCCAGTAAAGCTCCTTCTGAGAAGTGTCCAGGTAGCCCCACTCCTCCCAGGTGAAGTCCACAGCCACATCCTTGAAGGTCACTGATTCCTGAAACAAATAAATCTGTGCTTGGCCAGGGACCATACAGGGAAGGGAGGTGAAGCGGGCAGGAATGAGAAGAGCTGATTCTTACTATATTCAGGTTGCAGAGTGTTCAAAACAAAATCTTGGGGAGCATTTACTACATGCCTCAGATTCTGAATCATGTAATACAAGAACACTCATTGTCAAGTCGATAAAGATTTATGGAAGGTCTATCCTGTGTCCGGCTCTGTGCTGAGCCCTGGAGATTCAAAGAAAGCAAAAACAGTCCCTGCCCTCAAGGAGCTCACAGTCTAATGGGGGAGACAGCAAGCACCTGACCACTGACAAACAACGTCTAGACAACACTTTCCTCCCAACCACCTTGCGAAGACCAGCATTCCTCATCCCTGCTTTACAGATGAGCAAACCGAGGCTGAGAAAGGCTTTGTGGATTGCTCATGTTCACAGACAGGATCAGAGCTATGGCTCCCACCCCTGCCTCCAGAGCCCGTCCAAAGCTCTCCACCAGACCATGATGCCTCCTTCTCAGCAGCTCAGGTTTACCTTTGGAAGTCTTCTCCCAAGGCAGCAGAACCAAGCAACAGGCCTTTGTTAAGGGCTAACTATGTGCCAGGCACTGGGTTACATGATGGGGATGCAGAGAAAAAGCAAAAACAGTCCTGCCTGGGGCCAGCAAGTCACTAGCAGCTGAGGGGGCAGGAGTGGGTTCCTGTAAAAGTCAGGGCTCAAGCTGATCCGTGAAGCAATAAGTCAGTGCCTCCAAGAGGGGCAAGGTGAGGGGAGAAAAGCATTCCAGGCAGGGAGGGGAGGCAGAGGCAGAGAGGAGAGATGGGGCTCACGTGTGAGGAACAGAAAACAGGCCAGGCTGGCTGGGCCACAGGAAGCAGGGAGGACTTTAACAGGCTAAGACACAGGAAGGTAGGAAGGGCTCAGTTTGTGGAGAACATTAAATGCCCAACAGAGGATTTTATACTTGATCCTGGAAGTCCTAGGGAGTCACTGGAGCATGTTGAGGGGCAGTGGGGGGCCCAGCCAGACCTGTGCTACAGGAAAATCACTTGAGTGACTTGTGCAGGAAGGGCTGGAGTGGGGGGAGGCTTGAGGCAGGAGACCCAAAGGGGGCAGGCTGTCTATAAAGTCCAGGTGAGAGAGTAAGAGGCTCTGCCCCAAGGCGGTGGAATGGCCATCTTCTACACTGAAGGGTGGCTCTTTTTTAAATCATACGTTACCTTCTCACTCACTGAAATTCCAAGTCGGTCCCTGAGCGAAGTCAAGAACCTCGGCCCTTACATAATCTTTAGGACAATTGTCCCTCAGAATGAAGCTCCATTAACTGCTCATATTTTCTGAATGTCATTTCTCTACGTTCAAAATTTTTTGCTTAATCAGCATTTTCAAATGAGCCTCTATAAATGTGCTTGTGCTAGGATCAGATTTCAGTGGCCCAGGCATAACTATTCAGCACGGTGTGAAATTTAATGTGAACTTCAAATGGAGAAACTAGGACACATAATGGTAAACACTGGTTATATGGAAGATGTCATAAGATGGAAAGTAAGAAAGTCCCATCTGGAGATCCAGGACACAAGGGCTTAAACGAGGTAGGTAGCTTGAATTTACAAAAGAAAAAGTCAAATGACTTTGGCAGGTGAATGAAGGATGAGTTGGACTGGGGAGAGGCCAGACACCAGAAGACCAAAGAGCAGACTCTGCTAAGAGTCCAGTATGAGGTGACCAGGGCCTGCACTGGGAGAGGGCTGGGGCACTAGACAGAGAGAATGTGTGCAGTAAAGAGATTGTGTAAAAAGAGAAATCACTCAACTTGGCAGCTGACTTCATATGTGGGCTGAGAGAGGGAAGGAACATTCAAAGGGAACAATGACGCTGCCAGCCTGAGTGACCTGGAGGGTCACATTCAGAGACAGGGAGGGTTTGGGGGGAGATACTGAGTTATCCAGGGAGACGGTGAGTGGGAGATGCCTATGGGGCATCCTGCTTAAAAAGTCCTAGTTATTTGTTGTAGATTCAGGAGTGGAGCCCATGGCACAGGATGAAACCCCCAAGTGAGAGAGCTTGGAGAGAGGGGGAGGGCAGGCCAGAGCCTTGGACAAGCCCTCCAGACAGAGGGCATGACGTAGATGCTGACCCAGCAAAGGAGGCAGAGAAGGGAGGAGTGGTCAACAGGAAGGAGGAAGGGACCCAGAGGGAGCAGGGCCATGAAACTATCAGGGAAGAATAGATGAGGCCTGAGAAGAGGCCACTGGATTGGGACATTTGGGGAGGGAGTAACTACTGAGAGGATCAGAGAAAGTCACCCAGGAGATCTACCTTTCAGGGTCCCCCAGATGTTGAATCAAGTCAGATGAACCAACATTTATTAAGTGCCCACTAAATGCTAGGCACTAAGTGGCTGATCAGCCCCAGGTGCTGTAATGATAGAGAGCATTGGAGAAAGGATCCGTTTATACTGTGACCTGAGACACCTGTCAGGGAGGAGGATGATGCTGCTTACCTGGGGGGGCCTGCTGGTGAGGAACTGGGGGCCCATTCTGGCTCCTTGCTGCTCGCACCCAGGCCCAAGGGGTCCCAAGAGGCGGAGCTGGAAAGGAAAAGGCAGCCATGAGGGGGGTGGGCCCTTCCCCCTCCCCCCAGACCTGCCCCTGCCTGGGAAATGCGCACAGTGTCCCGGGGGGGCGGCCTGTCTGTGTCCAGTACTCGGGTCAACTCAACGTGCATTGATGAAGCGCCCACTGTATGCCTCGCTGCACTCTAGCTGCTGGAGATGCCAAGGAGACAGAAAAGCCCAGACTGTGCCCCTCCCCCAGAAATGCCAGGTCATGTACGTGATGACAGCTGGGGAGGTGAGGGAAGCAGGCTTTGGGGCTGGAGGCTCCTTTCCCAGGGGTCCGAACCCCCAAAATGCAGGGGGGTGGTAGTCCAAGGACATTCATGTCAGAGTGGGGGATCTGGGGAACAGGAGAGGGGAAGGGGAGGGAAGGGGAGCTTGGACGTGGGGAGAGAAAGAAGAGGAGGACGGGAAATTGAGGGGGGAGGGGGAAGAAAAAAGGAGGGGGCGGGGCAGTCCCGCCTCACAGCCCCCCCAGGATCCAGGAGCCTTCGCCCCATTTGAGAGACTCGCCAACTGAGGCAAGGAGAGGGGAGGGGGCGGGGGTGCCGGGCGCCCGTCCCCTCCCCTCCCCCTCACCAGACCCAGGACAAGCGCTGCCGACTCCGCAGGACCAAGAGCTACAAAGCCCTCGGGGTATCCAGGATGGAGAAGGAAGCGGACTCTACTGCATCTGCGCAGACTCTCCCTCGGGCCCCCCCTTACGGAGGGACGCGTCCATTGGCTAGCTCGGGAAGGGGCGGAGCTCACTCAGCCTTCCGGCCCGGGAAGGGGAAGCCTCTCCGGACTGGGCTGCGCACTTCACGCCCCGCCCTCCCGGGGGTTGCCTGGGGCTTTGAACCAATCCGAGGCGCTGCCGCTGCCGCTGCCCCGCCCCCAGCAGCACCAGCTCTACTCAGGAGTCCCCCTCACTCACCTGGACCGAAGCTGGCTGGGATATCTCCCCTCAGTATCCACGGCCTTCCTCTGCTCCAGCTGGTTGATCACTTTGGGTTTAGTATCTGCGAGGCGTGTTCACTGGAAAATAGAGAGTGCCAAGGACAGAGATCCACCCTGGAATTCGATCCCGGCCTTCGTCCTTCTGGGCAAAAGTGGGATTGCTTGGAAGGGAAGGAGGGTGTTGGGACCATGTTCTACACTGTGCCCCTACGAAGTGTGGGGGAATGGGTTACAGAGCAGGGCTGGGCTCAGAAGATGGGGAGTTCCCTGATTCCAAGTACCTACCAGGGGAGTTAAGGAGAGAAGGGAGGATTGGAGCTAGGACCCCAACGTCAACACCATCAAGCTGAAAGTCTTCTGCTCCACCAAGGAAATACCTTTCCCCTGTGAACCAGTCACAAAAGAATAAGGAATCTCTGGCCTTTCCATGCCATACTGTAACTCTTCAACATGCAATGCACCCCCACACAACTGGGTTGGGGCTCAAATGAGATCATGTAAAGGGATTTATAGGCAGAATGTAGAAGTCAGCTACATACTGATTCCAAATCAATCTCTACTGGTCTTCCTAGTGTATTGCCCTTCATTCCAGGAAGGCTGGTGGGCAGGAATAGTTATGGAGGATGGCCAGCATGCTGAAGGGCTATAGATTATACATACACTGATTAAAGGAACCGGACACGTCCAGGCCAGAAGAGAAAATATTTAGGTGTGTGAGGCATATGATGTCTCCAAGTGTTCAAAGATTAGTCACACAAAGGTTGAAGAGGAAGAATGGATCAAGATGGCAGGGGTGTGGATTTCAATATGACATGAAGAAAACCTCCTAACAATTACAGCTGATCAAAAATGGAAGAAACTGTCCCAAGAGGTGGTGAGGTCCCCATCACTGAGTCTTTAAGTGGAAACTGAGCTTGTACAGGAAATTCTAAAGCTAGGATTCCCTTTGAAGTATGGATTAGACTAGAAGCCTTCTGAAGTCCCTTGTAATTCAAATCCTTAAGGATTTGTTACTTTTCAAGGACAGTCACTTATGTCATGATGGGGTGGTGGGGTCAGTAAAATTGCAGGTCTATGGAAGAACCATCATGAAGGGGGGTGTCTACCCTGTATATGGGCTGGACCTGATGACCTCACAGGGCCTTTTCACCTCTGAGAGTCTGTTATATATCTCTAATACTCAAGGTATTGTGATGGGACATTTCTGGAGGGGGGAGGGGAAAACAATGGGAAGTGTAAGTAATTCATGGCCAAGGACAGCACTTAGCAAGGATCACTCTGGGCCCCCAGTTGTGTCAGGCATGGACTGCATAGCCCAAGGGTAACACAAGGGTCAGACAGGAGAGATCATGGAGAATAGTGTTACACTTGGAGTTAGGAAAACCTCAGTTCAGATCTGCTTAGTAGCTCTGTGACTTTTTCCCCATCCATAAAATGGTGGGACAATGATAGAACCTTCTTCATAGGGTCAATGTGTGGAGCAACTGCATAATACATCCAGTGCTTTGCAAGCCTTCAAGTGCTGCATAAATGTAGTTGTTGTTGTTGTTACAAGTGTGTCTTGTAGGCTGTTGGCCTAACTGCCATCACTGAGAGTTTGTGATCTCATCTGCCTGAAGCCCAGAATCATGTTGGAGAGAATTTTGCCTGACGTAACCATCTAGGTCAGCGCCAGAGTCCCTACAGCCACTTGCTGACACGGGGATACATATGTGCCCCCACCTCAGGAGGAGGAAACATTCAAACAGGGAAAATTAGCCTCTTAAGAGACACAAAGTTTCTTTGGTCCCAAGAGCTCTGCTAGGAACATGATGAAGGAGATTCCAAAACATGACTTTCTGCTTCTATTTTGGTTCTCCCCTTGGACTCAGGGACAAAGCTGGAGATGCCTCAGGCAGGGATGGTCCCCAGAGCTTCTCCTTGGCTGAGGATGGATGGTGATGTGAGGGAAAAGCCAGACCTTTGTCTACTCTCAAAAACAAAAGCCCTAAAGGGGTACAATGGCCTGCCTAAGAGCCAGGGATGTTAAATACTCTCCTCCTTCCACACTGCCCCAACACAGCCCTGCCTCATGTTCAATAGTGTTTCCTTACGCATACAGAGTAGGGCTTTGCATTGTGATGTTTCAGCTGCTGGACAGCTCCCTACCAGAAAAAAACCCAAGTAGGAGACCTTGTGTCAGTGCTGGCCATCATTTGACTGCCCCCAGACTGGGGGTTTGACGTGATGTTCAGGGTGATGCTGCCCGACATTCAGAGAATATTTTCCCAGATGATTCCTGTACTCCTGGTAACACTCCCACAGCTTTCATCTTCTGTGCACAAGACTGAGAAGCCCCACTGCTTCCCTAAAACCAGTCCCAGCCTCTCCAGAGATGGAGATGTGGTGATTGGGAGTTTTCTCTCCCTGTATTGAGTAGAAGTAAGGAGTGTCAGAGAAGCAGGACTGTTGGAAAGTCATCCTAACCAGATCTGTAGGGATTACAAGTAAGTGCCTGCATGACTATCTCACACAGTCTCATTTCACTGTGATGATTCCAAAAGGTCCTGACAGAAGGAGCCCCAACCTGTTGTCTTTAACACTTTCTCTGTGATCCCTGGAAGCTCTAGCTCTCTGATTCCACCACCTGCAGAGCCCTTTGGCTGACCTAATACTAAAGCATTTTGTAAACCTCAAAGAACCATGTTACCCTCTATGGGCCTCCTTCCCTATAAAATGGAGCACCTACCTCCCAGGATTTGGGGAAGGCATTTTCATTGCATGTGCTGTCATGCTTAGACCTCATATACACTACTGACAGCTCTCTGGATGATCCCACTTAAATTTTTACTCTGACTGATGCCACTGGGAAAATATAGGACAACACAGGAGATATTTAATGTGTAGAAATGCAAATCCAAGCAAGAAAAGGACAAGACTCTTGACTGAGGAAGCAGACCTTTGGCTTTCCAAATCCAGATCCTTCTCCAGGGATGTTTCTGCCCCAACAGAATCATGGTGAAATAGCTTGGGAGTCACAGAGTTAACAGGTGGACTTGGGTAGGTGAGTGGAGGTGAATGAGAGGGGAAAGGGGTGTGAGAAATGGCTGATGGGAGGCTGGACCTCCCCTTATGAGTCCCTGTGTCTGCCTTTCTGTCCCTTTATCCATTGGTCACTCTTCATTTCTGGTTTTCCCCTGTCCTCTGCTTTCCTCTGCTTACTAGGTATATCTTCATTATTATTATAGTTGATCTGCACATCAGCCCTATGAAGAAGGTGCTATGATTGTCCCCATTTTTTGGATGGGGAAAAAGTCACAGAGCTACTAAGTGTCTGAAACAGATCTGAACTGAGGTTTTCCTAACTCCAAGTGCAATGCTATTCTCCATGATCTCTCCTGTCTGCCCCTTGTGTTACCCTTGGGCTATGCAGTCCATGCCTGACACAACTGGGGGCCCAGAGTGATCCTTTCTAAGTGCTGTCCTTGGCCAAATATATTCACTACAGCTGATTATACTGATTGAATCTCTTTTTAGGTTCTTCTTTCTTCCCTTTTAAGGCTATTTTTCACCTGCTGCTCAGAGTTGGTCCCAGTCAGTTACTGGGGGGTGAATGGTACTGCTTCCTCCACATATGGTGGCTTTTTAAAAAAAACATACAAAACCTGTTTCGATTGACAGACATTGTTGATGGAGAAGGAAAGTTCCTCCAATAAAAATTCTAATAGAAAAGAACAAGAATATGGGAATGTTTATCCAGGAGAATCAGTTAATCAACATTTATTAAGCATCTATTGTGTGCTGGGCACTGCGCTAGGAGCTGAAAGATGGGCACAAAGAAATAAACCATCCCAATTTACCAGGAGTTTATACTTAATGAAGGAGACAACAATTATATATAAAATATATATGCCATCAATATAATGTTTACAAACACATACAACATGGTTACATATGAGGTAACTTGGGAGGGAGGCATAAGAAGTTGGAAGGAGTCAGAAAGGCATGCTGGAGTTGTGTGTCAAATGAAGGGAGGGGTCCTAGGAAGTAGAAGTAAAGCTGGGATGTATTCCAGGAATGTGGGACTTCCAGTGCAAAGGTACAGAGAGTAGAGATGGGGTGTCATGAGTGAGGAATGGAAAGGCCAATTGAGCTGGATTGGAGAGTGGAAGAGGGGGAGAAATGTCTAATGAGGCTGAAAACAGAGGTTGGGACCAGGATAGAGAGGGCTATGAATGCAATAGCCTGTTATTTACTATTGCAATAGGCTGCTGTTTTGGTCTCCCTCCCAAATCTCTCCTCACTTCAGGTCATTCTCCACTCAGCTGCCAAAGTGATCTTCCTAAAATGGAAGTTGGACCATGTCATGTCCCTCTCGGTAAACAACAGGAGCTTCCTAAGATCTCCAGGATGAAACACAGAATCTTCTCTTTGTCATTCAAAGCCCTCACAGCCTTATCTCCTAGCTTTCCAGTCTTCTTACACTTTGCATTCCCCGTGGACTCTGACTTTCTTGCTTCTCTTCAAACAAGACACTCCATCTCTTGACTACAGATATTTTTACAGACTTTCTGTTCTTCCCCCCTCCCCCTTCCCAGAATTCTCTCCCTCTTCGTGTCCACCTCCTGACTTCCCTGGTTTCTTTCAAGTCCTAGCTAAAATTCCACTTCCTACAAGAAGCCTCTCTCTAGCCTATGCCCCTTCATACTAGTAACTTCCCTCTGTGGATTATCTCTAATTTTCCTGCTATAGCTTTCTTATACAGAGTTGTTTGCTTGTCGCCTGTTTCATTAGACTGTAACCTCCTTTAGAACAGGACCTGTCTTTAGTCTTTGTATCTCTAGGACTCAGTACAGTGCCTGACACATAGGAGGTAAGTAATATAAATTTATTGGCTGACTGGCTACTATGGCAAGTAAATGCAATAAAGGTAAACTGAGGTGGGTATCGATACATAGGTACATGGGGAAGGAATGAGAGGGAAGGGTGAACATTTAGTCTCTTTCTCAGTAATCTATTCCTAGTGTCCATTTCCTCAGCACATCATACCTCAGGGCTCAGATGTCACAGACAATCATTGGGTTTCTGAAAACTTCTTTTCATCACATTCTGGAATTGGCCTGTTCTCAGAGAAGCTCCAAAGGGAGGGACTTCTCTGGTTCTGGTTACTTTTAGAAATTATTAGATTTTTTGCTAATATCTTTTTGCAATACAAGTTAACACAGCCACTTAAATTTTACTTTTTCTGACAACCAAATCATAGTGAAACCAGCTCTTCATGTGAAATAATTTACCCCATTCTACCTCTCCCTTCCTTCCACACCCATCATACTCCTCTTTTTCATCCCTTAATTTCATTCATTCAAATTCTCCTTACTTTCATACCCTCTGTCAATGTATATTCCTTTTAGCTATACTATTAATGATAAAATGTTTAAAAACTGCAAGTATCATCTTCCCATGTAGTGATGTAAATAGTTTAGCTCTATTGAATCCTTTATGTTTTCTTTTGCCTTTTTACATGTTTGTGCTTATCTTGGGTCTTTATATTGGAGGCCAAAATTTTGGTTCAGTTCTGGTCTTCTCCTTATGAAAGCTTGAAATCCTTCTCTTTTTTTTGAATGACCATTTTTTCACTTGATGTATTATGCTTAATTTTGCTGGGTAAGTGATTCTTGGTTGTAGTCCTAGCTCCTTTGCCTTCAAGAATGTCATGTCCCATGACCTCCAATCCTTTAATGTTGCAGGTGCCAATTCCTGTGTCATCCTGATTGTGACTCCCTGATATTTGAATTGGTTCTTTCTGGCCACTTGTATTTTTTCCTTGACCTGATAGTTCTGAAATTTGGCTATAATGTTCCATAGAGTTCTTATTTTGTAATCTCTTTCCTGAGGTGATCAGTGGATTCTTTCAATGCCTATTTTCCCCTCTTGTTCCAGGACATCAGGGCAGTTTTCCTTGATAATTTCTTAAAAGATGCTATGTAGGTCCTCCTTTTGATTATGGCTTTCATGTAGTCCAGTGATTCTGATATTGTCTCCCTTAGAGACAATTTTGCTCATCTTTTTTTTTTTTGGCCTTTTTCCTTTTTTTTTTTTAAATTTGGGCTCTGCTCTTGGGGTGGGAGGGTCATTGCCTTAGGCTTCTTGTGCCAGGGGTCCTGGCTGTTTACTTTGTGCTGTACTGAGGTTGCCCTGAGGCCCCTGGGGGACCCTTATGTCTGGTGCTGTTCTGAAGGGGTGGGGGGGGGTGGCTGGTGCCGCTGGAAGCCGTAGGTATCTGGAAGCTTATCTGGTGCTTAGCTGGGGTCCTTGTGCCAGTGTCTGACATGTGCTAAGGCTCAGTGGGGTGTTTCTGTGTTTCTCTGGGCTGTGCTGAAGCATGTGGAGGTCCAGCTGCTGGAGGATGCCTGTCTGCCCCGGGCTACACTGAAGCATGTGGTAGTTCTTGGAGCTGGAGTCTGCTGCTTCCCCTACCTATGACAAGGCATGTAGGGGGTCCTCGTGTTGGCAGTTGACTGCTCTGCCATACTGGGGCTCAGGATCTCCTGCTGGTTAGCTGAGGTGGGGCCTGCTGCTGGCCTTCTGGGACACCTCCTATCCTATCCTCTACCTCCCCTGCCCCAGTGAGATGGACCTCTCCAGCCAATCCTCCAAGTCGTTTGGGCTAAAAGATTGTTTCATTCCATCTTTTTGCTTGTTCTGCTAATTCTCTCTTTAACGCATTTCCAATGAGAATAAGGTACCAGCATTACAGTCCCCTCAACTTGATTCTTTTGTATCAATTCTTCCTTTCACACCTCATTTGTAGAATTACTCCTTTTTATCTCTCTCTACAGTTGTTTTTAGAATCACCCCATTGTACACAGCTCAGCCCAAGCCTTTCTTTTCAAACTACCCAAATAATGATGACAGTAGTAAGAGTACTGATACCATTTTCACATATAAGAAGTAAACAATTTGGCCTTATTGAGTCCCTTATAATTGATCTTTAATGTTTACCTTATAAGTCAAATCTTCCATTAAGTTCTGCTGTTTTTGCCACAAATACCTGAACGTCTTTCAGTTAGTTAAATGTTCATTTTTTTAAATTCAGGATTATACTTAACTTTGCTGTGTAAGGTACCCTTGGTCATAACTCCAGCTCTTTTGCTCTATCAAATATACTATTCCAAGACCTATAGGCCTTCACCATAGTAGTTCCTAAGTCTTGTGTAATCCTTATTGTAGCTTCATGATATTTAAATTCTTTTTCTCTTGTTGCTTGCAATATTTTGTCCTTAAGCTGGGAACTTTGAAACTTGGCTATAATATTCCTGTAAGCTTTCCTCCTGGGATCTCTTTAAGGTGGTGAATGGTAGATTTTTTCTATTTCTGCTTTGCCTTCTTGTTCTAGAACTTCAGGGCAATTTTCATGGATAATTTCTTGTAATATGTACCAAGATTCTTCTTTTTTTTTGTAAGTTTCAGGTAGCCTGACTATCCTTATATTGTCTCTCCTTGATCTGCTCTCCAGATCAGTTGTTTTTCTGATGAGATATTTCACATTCTCTTTGATTTTTCATTCTTTTGATTTTGCTTTATTATTTTGTGGTGTCTTATAACATCATTAGCTTCCCCTTACCCAATTCTTGTTTTCAAGGAATTATTTTTGTCTTTAAGTTTTTGATTCTCTATTTGCAATTGGTTGACTGTCTTTTCATAATTTTCTTGATTTTCTTTCATTGCTTTTATTTTTTTTCCTCATTTTTCTTCAATCTCTCTTATTTGTTTTTTAAAGACCTTTTTACATTCTTCTAAGAACTCTTTTTTTGGTGTGGGACCATTTGACATTTCTCATTGAAAAAAGGAGTGCCTTTTTTAGCTCCACTATTTTCTTCTGAATATTAATCCAGATCTTCTGCATCCCCAAGGTAGTTATCTATGGTTGGGTTCTTTCTCCTTTGCTTCCTCATTTTTATTTTTATTTTGTTTTTAGCAGCTATTATTATAATCAAGTTCTAGTCCAGAGGAATGGGGAATGATGCCCTAGGGCTCAAGTCCTTCTTACTGTTATTTTCTTGACTTTGCCCCAGGGCTCAGACTTAGGCACTCCTCTCCACTCTCAAGCCAAGGCTAGGGCTCCCAGCCATAGTGTCCCATAAATTCTCTTGTTCCCTGCAGTCCTTCTGGTGGCTGCAAATTACAGCTATCCTCTCTGCCCTGGAACTGAAACCAGCCAGAAGGTTTCCCAGCCCTCTGCTCTGCACTCACCAGGTGTGTGCTAGCTCTTTCTCCCATACAGCTGCAGCCCAGGATAAGTCTGGTCAGCACCACTGTGCTTGGAATTCCTAGACATTGGAAGTCCTTCAGTCTTCTCCTACTCAGCCTTCAGACCCCTATACTCTGGGAGTGAAAGTTCTTGAGGCTGAGGCTGCCTCCCAACCCAGCTGCCCCCAGTGCTTGTTGTTTGGTGATTCCCCAGAGTGGGCCTGAAAGTGCTTGCACTTCACTCAGGTCAAACCTCAGCCCTTAGAGGTCAGGTCTTTCCTGGGGTCTTCTCAAGTTGCCTTGGGAGGACAACCGCTTTACCCCACTTTGGTTTATTTTTGCTGTTCTATGTGAACTCCAAGGCAATTCTCTGTCTTTTTTGTGGAAGGAATTTGGAGAGCAAAAAGCTTGCTGACCTACTCTGCCATCTTCCCAGAATCCTCTTCTCTGGAGAAAGAATCTTAAAAAGAAAATCCATGAAGATGGGACTTGTGACATGAGCCCTTACATGCCAAAGTAGGCATGTAAGCTAAGGTTAAGAGCACTTTTCTAAATTGGCATTGACTCCACCATCATTTCTTCTTAAGACTGGCTTTCATTTATTTCATTCTTCACCTCAGATTCAAGCCCCGCAGAGAGAAAAACTTCATTTTGCTACCTATAACTTCCCTAGGATGTGAGTGAGCTGCGGATAAATAATCCTCAATATTGTAGAATTACAGAGAGAAAGCAGTAAAAGAATGAACATTAGAGAGGAAACTATTATAATTCAGTTAACAAGCATTTATTAAGCACCTTCTATGTGTTAGGCACTGTACTTAGTCCTGGGAGTACAAAGAAAGAAAAACATGCTTCCCACCTTCAAGGAACTCATGGTCTAATTAGGGAAACCATACGGAAACAGCAAGATACATAGATATAGATATAGATATAGATATAGATATAGATATAGATATAGATATAGATATAGATATATGTGTGTGTATGTATATGTATGTACATATGTATATATACACAAATACACATACACAATGCATATATTGCATATATATGTATGCATGTCTATATATATGTATATACATGTATATATATGATCTATAGATATATCTATATATTATATATGTCTCTACCTCTACATCTATCTATATTATATGTCTCTACCTCTATATCTATCTATATGTATACATTATATATGTCTCTACCTCTACATCTATCTATCTACATCTATATATTATGATATGTACGTCTCTACCTCTACATCTATCTCTCTATCTAATCGGAGGCACTAACAGTGGGAGAAAGCAGGAAAGGCCTCTTGCAGAAGATTAGACATAAGCTGACTTGTCAACTCTCATGGAGTGAATAGATCAAAATCTAGGACCTTCAGGCTTGATCATCACATGATTGGATGTGCTTCCTTCCTTCTTTATCATATCCTTCTAGGACTACTTCAACAACCTCTTCATCGGTCTCCATGCCTTAGGTGTGTTGATTATATCCAGTTTGTTCTGTGTATCTCTGTAAATTACTATGTAAATAGTTATTTGCATACTGTCTCCCCCATCAGACTGCAGGCTCCTTGAGAGCAGGCACTATCTTTGGCCTTTCTTTGTATCTCCAGTGCTTATTGCAGTGCCTGGAATGTACTTAATGTTTATTGATTGACTTACCCATCTCGACTCAACTGCCAAAGTGTTTTTTTTTTCTCAAGACTGACCTTTTCCTCTCACTCAGTAAACCTCAGTGGCTCCCTAATTACTTCTAGGATAAAATGTATCTGTTTGGAATCAAAATCTCTTCAAACCTGAGTCTTTCCCATCTTTCCAGTCTTCTTGTATGCTGCTTCTGTCCATGCACTTTACATGCCACCAATAATGCCTTATGTGATGTTCCTTACACACTTCCATCTCCATGTCTACATTGGTTGTCCCCTTGCTTGGAAAGCTCTTTCATGTCACCCTCACTTCCTAGAATCCATAGATTCCTTCAAAATTAAGCTCAAAGGACACCTTCCAGAAAGATGCCTTTCCCAGTTCTCCCTCCCACCCTCACTTCTGCTAGTGCTTTCACCTTTTTTTTTTTTTGGCTAGGCGATGGGGTTAAGCGACTTGCCCAGGGTCACACAGCTAGTAAGTGTTATGTGTCCAAGGTCGGATTTGAACTCAGGTCGTCCTGAATCCAGGGCCGGTGCTCTATCCACTGCTCCACCTAGCTGCCCCTAGTGCTTTCACTTTTAAGATGACCTTCCACGTACTCTGAACTTATCTTGTATAGATATATTTGTACATACATTCTTTCTTTCCATTACAACAGAAGCTCCTTGAAGCAGGGAATATTCCCTTTCTTTGGATCCCCAACATTCTACACAGTGCCTGGCACAGATTAAATGCTTCATAAATTCTTGTAGATTGATTCAGATGGATTGTCTTTGAATATTTTGTTCTTGGTTTCTTACTCTCTGCCCCTCAGATGGCTACACAAAAATTATCAGCAGGACCTAGCCCTGGTATTTGCTGTGGAGAACATCAACAGGGATCCCAATCTACCACCCAATATTTCTTCTCTGGGATTCCAGCTCTACAATGCCTACCACAGTGATGAGGGGACCTTGGAGAGCTCCCTGAGGTGGCTGTCTGGGAAGGGTCCGCTCATCCCCAACTACAGCTGCAGAGGGCAGGGCAAGTCTGTGGCTATTATTGGAGGAGCCACATCAGCTCTGTCTGTCCAGATGGGGACCCTGCTTGAGCTTTACAAGGTTCCACAGGTGGGGATACTGAGCCTGTTTCCTATTGTGCCTTTCTTAGATCACTCGGTCTGGGGAGTAGTGAAGCCATCCTTGAGTAATGACCAGACTATGGACTGATGATATAATTGATTACACAACTTTTGTCATGCCAAACAAAGGGTTCTAGAGATAAGCTAGAGCAAATTCCCTGTCACACAGAATCAGACACTAAAGATCAGGCATGGGCAGCTGTTTTCCCAAGGCCAAGCAGCTGCTTGGCAGCAGAGCAAAAATAAGAGCCCCAATGCCTCTGTTTGTTGTTTAGAACATATTAAACAAAATATACTGTGTGTGTTTACAAAGGGGAGATGCTGAAAGCAAGGAGATTAATTAGGAGGCCATTCCAATGGTCCAGATGAGAGGTGATGAGCATCTGAACTAGGGTGCTGGCCATGTGAGGGGAGAGAAGGGGACAAAACAATAAGCACTGAAGTACTTACTATGTATTAGGCACCGGAGATACAAAGAAAGGTAGAAACAGTGAAACTTGCATGCAGTGAGCTCAAAATCCAACAGGGGATACAAAAAACTGGATACATACAAGATTTAGGTAGAGGAATTGGCGATAATCTCAGAGGGAAAGCAATACTTTAAGGGGGAACAGGAAAAACCTATTATAGAAAGTGAGACTTTAGATTTGACTTGAAAGAAGCTAGAAAAGCTGGAAGGTGGAGACAAGGAGGGAGATCCTTCCAGGTATGGCAGATGTCCAGTAAAAGGCACAAAGGCAGGAGATGGCCAGGGGGTGGGCCTTGTGGTAGGAACAGAAAGGAGGCCAATGATACTGAATGTAGAGTATGTGGAATGGGATAAAATATAGGAAGTATTGGAAGGGGCCAGGCTGTAAAGTGCTTTAAAAGCCACCAAATATTGTGTTAGACCCTGGAGGTAACAAGGAGTCACTGGGGTTAATTGAATAGGAGACTGGTATAGCCAGACTTGTATTTAGGAAGATGACTTGGGCAGCTGAGTGGAGGATGGAGTTGTGAATAGAGTTCTGAGGCAGGGAGATCAACTAGAAGCTATTACAATAGTACAAGTGGGAGGTAATGGCAACATGTGCCAGGGTGCTGGCAGTCTCAGAGGGAAGTATACAAGACACACAATGTTAAGAATCAACAAGACTCGGCAACAGATTAGGTATGGAAAAGGTAGCAGTGAGAGAGTGAGAAATCAAGAATGACACCTGGGTTTAAAGCCTAAGTGACTGGGAGGATGCTATTGCCCTCAGTAGTAATAGGGAAATTAGGAAGAGTGGAAGGTTGAGTAAAGGCTATTAGGAGTGGAGGTGGGGATAATGAGTTTAGTGTGGGACCTATTGAGTTTAAGATATCTGAGATATTCAGTTCACAATGTCTAATAGGCCATGGAAGATGCAAGACTAGAGGTCAGGGGAAAGGTTGGGGCTGGATGAATAGATCTGGAATGATATAAAGGTAGAACTGACAAGACCTGGCCATGAATTGGATATGGAGAAATTAAAGAAGAGGAGGCAGTCAAGGATGAATATGAGGTTATGGACATGGGTCAGAGGAAGGGGTGAATGGCTGACTTCGAGAGAAATAGGAAAGTACAGAGAAGGAGGAGTTTGCAGATAGGGAGGTAGTAAGCCCCATTTTCTTTTTCTTAACTCATTATATTTTGTTTTTTTCCAATAACATGGAAAAATATTTTAACATCAATTTAAAAAATGTTTTAGCTCCAAATTCTCTTTCACCCAACCCTTCCCTTCCCCCTTCTTGAGAAGGCAAGTAATTTGTAAAGAATTATGCATTTGCAGTCATTCAAAACATATTTCCATATCAGTCAGGTTGTAAAAGAAAACAGACCAAAATGCCCCCAAGAAAAATAAAGTTTTAAAAAACGATGCTTCAATTTGCATTCAGACTCCATTCTTTCTCTAGAGGTGGATAGCATTTTTCAATAAAAGTCCTTCAAAAGTGTCTTGGAACATTATATTCCTGAGAGCAGCTTAGTTATTCACAGTTGATCATTATGTAATGTTGCTGTTACTGTGTACAATGTTCTCCTGGTTCTGCTCACTTCACTTTCAATCAGTTCATGTAAGTCTTCCCAGGTTTTTCTGAAACTATACTGTTTGTCATTTCTTATAGCATAATAGTATTCCATCACAACCACATACCACAACTTGTTCAACCATTCCCCAATCAATGGGCATCCCATCAATTTCAAGTTCTTAACCACCCCAAAAAAAGCTGCTATAAATATTTTTGTACAAATAGGTCCTCTTTCTTCTTCAAAAAATCTCTCTGAGATACAGACCTAGCAGTGGCATTGCTGGGTCAAAGGGTATGCAGAGTTTTATATCCCTTTAGGCACAGTTCCAAATGGCCCTCCAGAATGGTTGGATCAGTTCATAATTACACCAACAGTAGTATCTCATTTTTTTCTACAAACCATCCAACATTTATAATTTTCTTTTTCAGTCATATTAGCTGATCTGATAGATGTGAGGTGGTCCCTCAGAGTTGTCTTAATTTGCATTTCTCTAATCAGTAGTGATTTAGAACATTTTTTCATATGACCATAGATAGCTTTGGTTTCTGTTTCTGAAAACTGCTTTTGATCCTTTATATGATTTGATATAACATATCCTTTGATCATTTATCAGTTGTGGAATGACATATTCTTATAGATTAGGCTCAATTCCCTATATATTTGAGAAATGAGGCCTTTATCAGAGAAATTTGAAGTAAAAAAATTTCCCCAGTTTTCTGCTTCCCTTCTAATCTTGGCTAGATTGGTTTTATTTGTACAAAACCTTTTTAATTTAATGTAATCAAAATTATCCATTTTATATCCCCCCCCCCAATGTTCTCTGTCTTTTGTTTAATTCATAAATTCGTCTCCTATCCACAAACATGACAGGCAATGCGATTCATGCTCTCCTAATTTCTTTATGGCATTACCATTTATTTCTAAACCATGTACCCTTTTTGACTATATCTTGGTATGTGGTGTGCCATATCGGTCTGTACTTAATTTCTGCCAAACTGATTCCTTGTTTTCCCTGCAACGTTTGTGAGATAGTGAGTTCTTGTCCCAAAAGCTAGGATCCTTGTATTTATCAAGCACCACATTATTGTGGTTCATTTACTACTATTTACTGTGGACCCAATCTATTCCGTTGATTCTTAGCCAGTATCAGATTGTTTTGATGACTACTGCTTTGTAATACAGTTTGAGTTTTAGTACTGCTAGGCCACCTTTCTTTACATTCCCCCCCCCCCATTCCCCTGATATTCATGACCTTTTGTTCTTTCAGTTGAATTTTGATATTTTTTTTTCTAGCTCTTTAAAATAAGTTTTGGTAATTTGATTGGTATGGTAGTGAATAAATAAATTTAGTAGAATTGTCATTTTCATTATATTGACTTGGCCTACCCATGAGCAACTGATATTTTTCCAAGTGTTCAGATATGACTTTATTTGTGTGAAAAGTGTTTTGTAATGGTGTGCACATAGTTATTGGATTTGTCTTGGAAGGTAGACTCCTAAGTTTTTCATATGGTCTACAGTCATATTAAATGAAATTTCTCTTTCTGTCTCTTGTTGCTGGACTTTGTTGGCAACATATAGAAATGCTGATGATTTATGTGAGTTTATTATATCCTGCAACTTTGCTAAAATTGTTTATTATTTCAACTAGTTTTTAGTTGATTCTGTAAGTAAACCATCAAATCTTTTGACAATTTTATTTCCTCATTGCCCATTTTAATTCCTACCATTTTTCTTCTCTTATTAATATAGCTATCATTCTTAGTACAATATTGAATAAAACTGGTAATAACGGGCATTCTTGCTTCACTTCTGATCTTATTTGGAAGGCTTCTAGCTTATCCCTATTACAGATAATGGTTTAGATAGATACTTCTTATTATCTTAAGGAAAGCTGCATTTCTTCCTACGCTTTCTACTGTTTTTAATATGAATACATGTTGTATTTTGCCAAAAGCTTTTTCTGGATCTATTGAGATGATCATATGATTTTTTGCTATTTTGTTATTAATATGGTCAACTATGCTGTAAGTTTTTTTTTCAATTATTCAACCAGCTCTGCATTCCTGGTACAAATTCCACTTGGTCACAGCACATGATCTTTGTAATATATTGCTATAATCTCTTTGCTAGTGTTTATTTAAAATTGTTGCATCATTATTCATTAGAGAAATTGGTCTATAGCTTTCTCTGTTTTTGCTTTTCATGGTTTAGGTATCAGCCCCATATTTGCATCATAAAAGGAATTTAGTAGGACTTCTTCTTTGCCTATTTTTCCAAATAGTTTACATAATATTGGAATTAATTGCTTTTTCAATGTTTGATAGAGCTCTTCTTTCTCCTCCTCCTTGTCCTCCTTCTCCTCCTCCTCTACTCCTTCTTCTTCTCCTCTTTCTCACCATCACCATCATCATCTTCCTCCTCGTCCTCCTCCTGCTCCTGCTCCTGCCGCTTCTGCTTCCTCCCCTCCTCCCCCTTCCCTTGGAGCGGACCATCCTGGTGCCTCTTTTGTGAAGCGGCGCCTGAGGAGACCCCCCGACTCGCCATGGCCGACGAAAAGCCGAAGGAAGGCGTCAAGACTGAAAACAACGACCACATTAATTTGAAGATGGCAGGGCAAGATGGTTCGGTGGTGCAATTTAAGATTAAGAGGCACACACCACTTAGTAAACTAATGAAAGCCTATCGTGAACGACAGGGTTTGTCATTGAGGCAGATCAGATTCCGATTTGATGGGCAACCAATCAATGAAACAGACACACGTGCACAGTTGGAAATGGAGGATGAAGATACAATTGATGTATTCCAGCAGCAGACAGGAGGCGCTTACTAAAAAAGAGAACATGCAACTCCACTCCAGAACTGTGCTCCCAAGGAAAACAATACATTCACAATTAGAAAACCAAGATTTGGTTCATCCACATCCTGACTACTGCAGTATAGTTTTCTCTCTTCTTTGA